ACGCTTTAGAGATGAAGACAAGTTTACGTAGGATGCAGGCACAACATCGGACATATTTACAAAGCCAAGGACAAGATGTTCTAGTTTAGATAAGTTGCGTATAAGCATGCTGAAACCGTGGCTATCAAATTTCAAATCATTTGCATGAAGATCAAGTGAAATCAGGTTTGACAGCAAAGAAATATCTGATGGAACTAATCCGGACAAGGAAGAAGCAGAAAGATTAAGATGCGTCAAGCTTACGAACCGACTAAATCCAGACGGAATCGAGGAAGCACTGAAATTGTTGAAAGCAAGGTTGAGCTGTCGGAGTCCTTGAAGGCTGAAAAGGGCGGTGTCTGGAGAAAGAGAGCCAACAAGCTTAGAGTAGCTAAGGTCGAGGCCGATCACCTGACCGGTTGCCTCATCACAAGTGACTCCCCCCCACGTGCAGCAATTTGTGCTTTCATTCCAAGAGTTGGTTTTTGGATCACCATCAGAATCATCAATGGACACGGCGCTCTTGAATAGGAGCAAGGCTAATTTATCGTCCGGCAGACATAAGGGAGTTGAGTTAAGAGAAGTGGAAGACCAAGTCTGAGAATAATCGGCTTCAGAAAGCAACAACAATAGTAAGAGGAGACCAGAGATTTGATGCAACGATTTTAACTTTCCCATTTAAGAATCTAAGAAACAAGGAGACGATTTGCTACTGAGTTGAGTATGAAAGTGAATTCGTAAGGGCCGTATTTATACCATTTCAAGTCGACTATAAGTCTTTTAAAATTCGTCAAATTTCCCAAAATTGAACCATGGTAGGTGGGATTTTCTTTCTTATTTTCTTTATTATGATCTTGCGATTGATAATTTTTGTTCATCAGTCTAATGGAAAAGAACATAGATGATCAAAATGGCGAATTAGGTTACAATTTCACCAAAGCCATTGCCGTCTGTTATTCTTTTGAACGTCTTCACACCACATCTATTATAATATCGTAACGATTATATGCAAACAAATAAATAAGATAGAAAAACAAAAACAAAAAATACTAGGATTTATGTAGAAAATTCAAAAAGAAAAAAATCGTGTAGAAGAAAATAATTTTTTGCTAAGAAATTACAAAAGGATTTTGATGAAATAAAAACTTGATATCGAACATGAAAGATTGTAATGTGTTGCATTTCAATTAGAAACGTCAGAATATATGCATTGTACATTGAGTATTCTAAGCCTAGAAATTAGGAACTAATTAGCAAAGAATAAAGCAAAATATTCACAAGATTATCGCCTTTACAAAAATAGGAGATATGTACAACTATAGAATATATTTATCAGATATTCTAACACACCCCCTCAGTCAAAGCGGGAGGTTCATGAACGCTGAGACTGTCCTGAAAATCTTCAAATAAAATACGAGGTAGGCCCTTCGTAAAAATATCTGTAATCTGATAACGGGAAGGAACATGTAGGACTCGTACTTCGCCTTTAGCAACCTTTTCCCTGACAAAATGAATGTCCATCTCAATATGTTTGGTACGCTGATGTTGTACTGGGTTTCCTGATAAATAAATGGCACTCACATTGTCACAATAAACCAGAGTAGCTTTATGAATAGGATAGTGAAGCTCAAGTAATAAATTTCGGATCCAACAAGAATCAGAAACTACATTAGCTACTCCTCGGTACTATGCCTCAGCACTGGAGCGTGACAAAGTTGGTAGTCTTTTGGACGACCAAGATATTAAATTGTCACCTATAAAGACACAATAGCCGGAAGTAGAACGTCTAGTATCCAGGCATCCTCCCCAATCTGCATCAGTATAAGAAATGAGCTTGTGGATTGAGGATTTATACAGATATAGACCATAAGACAATGTGCCCTGCAAGTAGCGCAGAATACGCATAAGAGCACTCATATGCTCATTCATGGGATCATGCATATGAAGACAAATCTGCTGAACTGCATAAGATATGTCAGGTCGAGTAAAAGTAAGATATTGTAAAGCACCGTCCAAACTGCGGTACTTGGTGGGATCCTCATAAGGTGAATCCTTCGAAGCACTGAGTTTCGGTTTGGTGTCAACAGGAGTGGGAGAAGAACTGCAATTAACCATACCAGCTCTTTCAATGATATCTATTGCGTACTGTTGCTGAGATAAAAACATACCATTAGCATTATGGGATACAACAATCCCCAAAAAGAAACTGAGAGGACCCAAGTCCTTCATAGCAAATTCAATACCCAAGAGAGCCATAAAGTGCTTTCTCAATCGATCAGATGAAGCTGTAAGAATGATATCATCAACATATAACAAAATATATGCCATATCCGAGCCCTGATTTTAGATAAACAAAGAATTATCCAATTTACTGTTAGAAAACCCATTAGTGGCAACAAAATCTGCAAATCGCTGATACCAGGCTCGCGGAGCCTATTTAAGGCCATAGAGTGATTTCTTTAGTAAACACATATGATCAGGGCAACTTTTGTCGTGAAAACCCATAGGCTGATGCATATATACTGTTTCGTTGAGATAATCATGTAAGAAAGCATTCTTGACATCTAATTGGTGAATAGGTCAAGATTTCGAAATAGCAATGCTTAGAACAATACGAATAGTAGCCGGTTTGACAACTGGACTAAAAGTATCATCACAATCAACCCCTTGCTGCTGAGATTTCCCATCACCTACAAGACGAGCTTTATACCGCTCAAAAGAACCATCAGATTTTATTTTATGTCGAAAAATCCACATAAACCTGATTACATTCACATCTGGTGGCCTAGGTACCAATTCCCATGTTTTATTAGCAATAAGAGCATTAAATTCATCTAACATTGCCTCTTTCCAATTTGGATCACAAATAGCACTAATAGGGTTCTTAGATAATGGAGAAATATTAGTGGTAGTCATGGACGAGAAATTAGAAAAATATTTCGTGTTTGGTTTGTAGATGTCATTTTTAGCTCTTGTTGTCATTTTATGAGGGGTAGGACCCGGTAACGAGGTGGGAATGGGTGTAGGCTGGTGGTCTGGGATAGAGAGGGCAACAATATCGGGTGAGAGATTCGACCCAGAAGAAGAAGGCCCAGCTTGAGAGTGAGGAGGCAAAGATGGGCTGAGAGGAGTAGGCCCAGCAAAGGGTGTGGGCTACAGTGGGTTTGACGCCACATGCCCAGGATAAGAGGTTGGGTTAGCTTGGTGCTCTAAATTAGGAGTTGGAACGCTTTGGTAAGCCAAGTGATGTAAGATTAGATTATAATCCATAAAATCATAGTCGTTTTTGTGAGGTGAGTGAAGCTTAAGAAAGGAAATTCGTGTTCAACAAATTTGACATGACAACAAATAATTATCTTTCCACTTGACACGTTATAGCATTTCGAACCTCTATGATTTGGGGCGGGACCAAGATAGACACAAGGAGTGGACCTTTCTTGCAATTTATTAATAGAGGTGGATGGGAAGAGAGGAAAACATAAACAACCAAAGACACATAATTCTAAGTATATAGGATCACATTGGTATAGAACTTGAGTTGGAGACTTAAATCCTAGAACTTTGGTTGGAAGGATGTTTAGGAGATATGCGGCCATCTCTAAAGCATGATGCCAAAAGGAAAGAGGTAAAGAAGCATGAGCAAGTAAGGTCCGGATTATATTGTTTATGGATTTTATGTGGCGTTCGGCTTTTCCATTTTGAGGTGATGTATGAGGACAAGAAAGACGGAAGAGCATGCCATGGTTATTAAAAAGCTCTTTTAAAGTGCCATTAACATATTCCGTGCCATTGTCACATTGAAAGGTCTTAATATCACGAGTAAATTGTGTACGTATTAGACTATGAAAGGATTGGAACAAGTATTTGACTTGAGATTTCTTAGCAATAGGAAACGTCCACAAGAATTTATTGTAATCATCAAGAAAAAGAACATAATAACAATGGCCAGATGTACTCATGAAAGGCGAAGTCCAAAGATCACTGTGAATAATATCAAAAGGAGAAGCAGTGTGTGACATAGAATCATAAAACGGTAACTTAGAAAGTTTCCCAAGAGAGCAAGATGAACAAAAAGTTTTACAAGCCTTATTACAATCAATAAAAATTTTACTTCTAAGAGACCTAAAAACAACATCACCAGGATGTCCTAGACGGTTATGCCAAATATCATATGAAATAATAGTAAAAGCTGAATTATTGACTGGAAGAGTGGCTTGATTAATGGAGAATAGAGGATAAAGGTCACCGGTACTGTCACATCTCACTAGTCTGGTTCCCGTTTGTAAATCATTAACGGAAAAACCAAGGGGATCAAATTCAACGGAAACTGAATTATCTTTGGTGAATTTACGGACAAATATTAAATTTTTAATCAATTTAGGAGCATGTAACACATTGTTCAAGTGAAACGGGGGGTAAGGGAGAGGCAAAATAGTACTACTGTAACCAACAATTGGAACTAGATTTCCACTACCCACAACAATGCTATTATGTTTAATGCTCGAATTGAAATAAGAAGAAAAGATACCTTGGTCCAAAGTCATGTGAGATGTAGCGTTGGTGTATATGTAGAAATTTCCATCCGGCTGAGAGTGGGATAGAGCATTCATCGCTGCCTCGATGTCTGTAGGAGCTTAGCTACTGTATAGAGATGCTGGACTGAATAGAGCTACTGCAGTATAGGCTTGAGGACGTGAGCCTAGTAGTCTAGGCCCAGTAGGACATGGCCCAGCAGTAGGAGCAACACCGATTTTTGGGGGCCAAGATGCAGTAGGGTATGGGCATGGTGGAGGGTTAGGCCACTGAGCCAACCAAGGTGCCCATCCGGCCCTTGACTGTTGCTGCTAATTGAATGGCACAAGCCCATGTTATTGTTGGCCCACTTGGCCATTTCCATTCTTGCTCTTCCCAGAAGACTTAGTGTTCGATTTTTTTTGTTTGTTCCCCTTAGATGTCGAACGTGATGAAGCAGAGGTGCCAGAATCTGAGCCTGCAACAAGAGCGGCTTGGTTGCCGGAGCTTCATTCCTTCGCCAAGCGATTATTAATGGTCCGCTCCGCAAGCTTGAGACGGGATCGACAACTTTCAAAGGAGGGCAGCAGTTCTTGGTTTTGAATGATGTCAATCGTTCCGGCATAGGCCTCAGGTAGCCCGGCCGTGAGTTTGAGAACCAATATGCTGTTGGAGAGAGGGGCATCAACATCGACAAGGCGATCGACCAAGGATTTGATGTGATTACAATAACTATCAATTGATGAGAAATTGCCGAAATCAAGGTTCGCAAGTTCTTCTTCAAGGTGGGTAGCCCGAGAAGCCTTGTTGTCCTGAAACACTGATTCGAGGTGTGACCATGCCCTTTGAGCGGAGGCGTGACCATGCCCTTTGAGCGGTGTCGTCTTTAAGCAAGATAGCATGAAGGAGGTCCATGGAGATAGTCCCATAAATCCACTAGAGTACCGCAGCATGAAGACGCTTCCATAAGGCCGAGTCGACGGCTTTGGATGCGGCATAGGCGGTGATTTCCTCTTCCTCCGTAGGAGGGATAATGTGGTGATGCAAATCATGAACCCTAACAAGAACCTTGAACAAGGCCGCCCAAGAATGATACATATCGTGCTCTGTATCCAATGTGATAGGGATTAGGGACTTGACATTGGTTATAGTGAGAGTGGGATGAAACTTAGGTGATGAAACCATTTGAGAGTGTAACGGGAGAAGAAAAAGATGGGGAAAGAGAGGTGGTTGTTAGGGAGTTTTTGGATCGTAGAAGGCTGATACCATGAAAGATTGTAATGTGTTGCATTTCAATTAGAAACGTCAGAATATATACATTGTACATTGAGTATTCTAAGCCTAGAAATTAGGAACTAATTAGTAAAGAGTAAGGCAGAATATTCACAAGATTATCGCCTTTACAAAAATAGGAGATATGTACAACTATAGAATATATTTATCAGATATTCTAACAGAACACTTACCTTAGTATCTATTTATAGGGATAAATATTTGATTACAAAGAAAAACTAAATAGAGTATAAATATACTTCAATAAAGTAAATTATCTACTTTTAATTAAACTAAGATTCTTACTTTCCTAAATTTAAATATTAATTAATCTATGCCACTTGAATTTGAGTCAAACTTTAACAAATCTCTAGCTTGACTAACAAAACAAAAACAACAATTACGAAGGTTTAAATACAAAACACCCAAATTTGATGAGACACTCAAACTCAACAAAAAAAAAATTGTTCACTTCAACGAACACGTTCTCCGTCTCTTTCATAACACTCCTAAAAGGGGTTATTTCCAGTAATGGACATCGATTGAATCCAAGCTTTTTTTAAGCATGTATTTAGTCTTCACATCGACAAGATTATCATAAGTGCCAACTTTACTAACAAATTTATCACTATTAAATTGAGAAATATGCATAGTAAAATGAAGAATTCATCATCAGTTATCATTAAACTTCAAAGTCTTACATCTGTTTATATAAAAAAATTATAAAAGCAACTAATGCAATTAACATAATGAAAACTACCTTCTAACTTTAATAAATAATTAGTTAAAACTAACTCAACACACCCCCTCAAGTTGGTGGTTGAAAAATGTTTTAACCCCCAACTTAGAAAGTAAATAACTATGTTGTTGTATGATTAATCCCTTGGTCATGATGTCTGCAAGCTATTCTCCAGTTGGTGCATGTTCTGTTTTGAGCAAACTTTCTTGAATATTTTCTCTAACGAAATGACAGTCAATTTTAATATGTTTTGCTTTTTCATGGTACACAAGATTCGTAGCAATTTGAATGGTTGCTTTGCTATCACAGTATAGTTTCACTGGCTCCATGTCTTGTACACCAATTTTAGCAAGCAATCATTTCAGCCACACTTCTTCTGCTGCAGTGGTTGCCATGCCTCGATATTCAGCTTCTACTGAAGATCTTGCTACTGTATATTGCTTCTTTGACTTTCATGAAATCAAGGAATCTTCATGTTTAATGCAGTATCCAGTGATTGATCTTCTAGTCATAGGACATGATGCCCAATCTGAATCGCAGTAGGCTATCATATGTTTATTCGTTGACACCTTAAAGAGCAGACTTTACCTTGGATCATTCTTAATGTATTTGACCACTCTCAAGGCTATATTCAGGTGAGATTCCTTTGGTTGGTGCATAAACTGACTCAAATAATGTACTGCATACGTGATATCTGGCCTTATGTTAGTCAGATAAATTAACCTCCCAATCAATCTTTGATAACTTGTCTTATCTTCCAACAGCTCGATTGAAAGATTCTGAACTACTATAAGAACGTTCATCTTTTCTCTGAATTAGTCGATCCATGCACGATGAGACCCTCTAACTGGGGCTCGGAACCAGATACAATATGCTTCATCTTGTCAAACGAGTGCAGACTATTATACACTTATTCAAGAGTGAGTGTTTCACGATTGTACAAGACTGTGTCCATGAAAGATGAGTAGAAAGGATGCAATGAACACAGAATGATCAATCATAAATCTTATTGATCATACTTCATTATAAGTCTCTAGATTAGAGACATTTTCCTTGAATGTCGTCAGGTGCTCTTCAAGAGACGAACCTTCTGTCAAATTGAGTGAATAAAGACACTCAATAAGTGTAACTTCATGGTCAACGATTTCTACATACATGGTTGCTTCAATTTCATCCACAAAGAAGCAATCGTTTTTTTAATTCAATGCATCATGCAAAATTTGATTTGATAAGTGTAAATGAATATGAGAAAGAGTTTTATGATCCTTATTTTTGTCTCATTCATCCATTGTGTTCTTTACTTCTAATCAAATTCTTTTATTGCATCTTCGAGATCTAACTATGCAAGAACATCTCAAATCTTTACCTACCATTGCAAGTACCCAATGTTTCAATCCAACAATGAAATATCATATTTTATTATTGTCATAATTTTGAACCTAAATCTCTTATACTAATTGTTAGGAATTTGGGAGCGGAAAAATAATCAAAGTGATATCAACATAAAATAAGACATGCACAATAGACAAAACTTAATGTGGTTCGTCCTTGCTTACCACCACGGGCGAGATGAACAATAATCTAATATAAACGTAGAGAATGTGAAGAGTACAAATACATGATATCACACGTATCCTAAAACACGATATAGATATCAAAACCCGATATATTCCAAAATACTCTTCCAACATCCGTACAAAACTATCTCTACAATATAAACCCCAAAAGTTACAAAAATCCAAAAAATTATTCCATCTCACTAAAATAATTCTTTCTTACATAACCCTAAAGACCAAGACATTATCTCTATTTATAAAGTCAAATACCTTATCACCAAGAATTCTTATTCCATAAGAATTATTGTTTAAAATAAATATTTACTTTCTTAAATAAAGTAAATTACCAAGTAATCTTAAACCAATAGAATTATAATAAAATTTGACTTAATTACCAATTATAATTTAGTCAAAATATAACAACGCTATTTTTTTTGGAAAATAAGACTAATATTTATTAGCCAAATAAAACATCATCAACAACATTTGATATCATGTTGAACAAATACGATCATGACTATCATAAATAAAATATAACAATGAACGACCGATGACAGCCTGATGAGCAACATACAAATATGGATCACGTCGACATCCCCAAACACCAGCCACCAAAATAACCAATTTAGCTCATCTTCTATCAGATCCTCACGTCATCAATCACCCTAGATTGCCACATCAGTACAGTAGACCGTCAAGTCAATATCGTAGACTATCACGTTAGTATTGTAGACTGTTGGTCAATACCGTGAATTGTCACATCAATACCGTAACGGTCAACGACGCAAAACATTGATCAAATAGTTAGGGTCCGTTTGTTTCTCTAAAAACGTTTTCCGTAGAATTACGTTTTCTGAAAAACATTTTCTGGAAAACGTTTTACGATGTTTGGAAGATGTTGTTTAAACCATTTTTTCATTAGTTGATTAATTTTTTAAAAATTATTTATTACAAATTTTAAATACAATAAATAATATTGTTTATCATAAAATTTAATATTATTATTTTTTAAATTATTAAAATAATTTATTTATTATTAAAATATTATTTTTATAATTTTATTAATAAAAATATTAATATTGGTATATGTTATTGAAATAAAAATATTATAAATTATATTAATTATTTATTAAAGTAATAGTGTTATATTATATTTTAAAAATATTAATTAGTATATTTTAAATATCTTTATTAAAATATTATTAGATTATTAGATTAATATTAAATAATATTATTAATTATTAATAATTTAATAATATTATTTCTATGAAATTAATAAATAATATAAATTTTATTAATAATTTATTATATATTATTAAAATAAAAATATAATATTTTATATTATTATAATATAATTGATTATTTTATTATAATATTAAAAATATAATATTATATTATTATAATATTATATTTTAAATATTTTAATAATTAATATTTTGATTGAAATGATATTAAAATATTTTTTAATATTAAATTCATAAAATAAAATTATTTTGAGTATTTATTTTTTGAAGTTAAGAGTTCGGAAAATAACTACCGGAAAATCAGACCGTAAGTCATTTTAAAAAAAAACAAAAGAAATTAGATTGACCAGCCAATTTTCCTCTAACCAAACACTGAAAAATGATAAAAATATTTTCAGAAAACGTTTTACGTGAAATAAATAGACTCTTATATTAGATTTGTTTTCTAAGTTGGATGGTTATATTAAAAAAACATAATACGATTGCCATGTTAATTTTTTAAAAAATACTGAGGTTTCTGATGTCTTTTTTTCTTCAAAATATTATAATTATATATTTTAGATTTATTTTAAAAATTATTAATTTATTGTTAATAAATTATATAGTCTTTTGTACAGTGTTTCTTCTTTCTCAGTCAAGTCTTCTGCAACTTTCCGAGCAATTATCTTATTATTTTATTACTTCAATTATGTGATACCTTTTTGCTTTTTAAAAAAAAAATATTTCCTATTTGATAATTGTATTTCCCCTTACTTTCTTTCGTCATAATTAATTAATGGATTAACTCCACATATGATCACTAATATTTATGTTTTGTTCACTTTTGATCATTGATTTTAGAAAACATAAAATATGTTTACTTTTATTTTTATTTAATTAAGATATGATCACTTTTGTTTTTATTTAATTAATATGTAGTCATCACGTGTCAGTTGTTGTTAACAATTAACAAAATATGTGACGTGATAGTTGATATAATCACACTTTTGATCTATGATATTTACATATTTTCTCAATTTAACTATACTTTTAAATAAATTTTAACATAGAATATATATTTTTAAATAAAAATAAAAAAAAATAATTTTAAATAAAATATTATCCCAATTTACTTTCCTTTGTTTTCTTTCAACCAGAAGGTGACACATGTCACTTTTTTATTGTTGAAAATAAATATATTAAATTAAAATAAAGTTAGTCCTCCAACCGAATAGTGACATTTGGAATTAGGGGTGAGCAAAACTCGACTCGAAAAAATTTCAAGTTCAAACCGAGTTGTAAAATACAATTCGAATAATAACTCGAATAACTCAAAATTTTTAATAATTAGTCAATTGATTTTTAAGTTTGAGTTGAATCACTTGACTCTGTATTATAAATGTATATCACATATGAGAAAAATAAGAAAAAATAAGCATGTATTGTATATAGTTATAAAAAACCATTTTTTTATTAATTATAAAAGACCATTTAAATTATAATTAAATAATATTATAATATTATAAATATTTATAATTAAATTTAAACAAAAACTCAAAAAGTTGACTCGACTCGAAAAAATTTCACGTCAACTTTGAGTTGTTAAATAAGAATCGTCAACTCGAATAACTCGAATTTTTTTTATTCAAATCGGCTCGGCTTGATCGAACGCTCACCCCTACATGGCATGACATGTGACATCATTCGATTGGAGGGTTAAATTTATTTTAATTTATTAAAAGTATGACTAAATTGAGAGAATATGTAAATATCAGTGACCAATTGTAGGATTAAATTTATTTTAATTTATTAAAAGTAAAACTCAATTAAGAGAATACGTAAATATCAAAAATTAAATGTGTGATTCTATCAAAATATTTAAATGTCGTTAATGATAGTTAATTTAGGGTGATAACGTCTTAAATAAATAAAATTAAAGTTATCATATTTTATATTTTTTAAAATTAATGAATAAATATAAATAAAACACAAACATAAATGATCATATATATAATTAACCCTTAATTAATTTAATTGGATTACAAAGTTTTGCTTGTGCTTTTCTATTGCGTCTGCTTTATTTACACGTTGATGCGTCAGTTGACAACGTATGCTTTCTTCTGTCATTAAGATAAACTTTAGTAGAGGGATCTCATCGCCTCTAATTGGGTCCCATCTACACTTGTAAAAAATCTTTAATTGAGTTCGTTCAAAATTGCTCGTCTAGCTCAGTTGGTAGAGCGCAAGGTTTTTAACCATGTGGTTGTGGGATCGAGTCTCACTGAGGGCAATTCATAATAGAAGTTTTTTCACGGAAGTTGTCCCCAACCTTACGTTGGGAAGATTGGGAGCAGCCTACTACCCTACCTCCCCTTACCCCATTACATATGAGAATAAAGTCAGATAAATTTTTTTTATTCAACTATTTAATTGAATATAATGTCCACTTTTCTCATACTGTCTTTATTAATTATTAAGTTTGATCCAATGTGTGATAGGTAAAGTTAGCAATTTCTCAGCAATTATTTCAATTATATGATGCCTTTTGCTTCTTTTGTTTTTCTTTTTTAACAAAAATGCATAAGAGATTTATATTTTTTTTAAAAATTTAATATGATTCTCGTATTATTTTTTCTCTTAATATAACCCTTCAACTCAAAAAAACCAATTTAATATGACTATTTGACCAACATTTTTCGTCGTTTAACCATTACGATGTTAACACGACAATTCACGATATTGATGTGACGATCCACAATATTAATATAATAATTCACAATACTGATGTGATGATCCACGATACTGACGTGACAGTTCATATGACATATTTGAGTTATCAATTTAGCTCATCTACCATATTATCCATCACGTTATCAACCACCGAGGACTACCAGATCAACACCGTGAACCACCATGAATTGTCACGTCAATGTCATAAAGGTCAACGACGAAAAAAGTTTGTCAAAAAATCACATTGAACTTATTCTCTAAGTTGAAGGGGCAAAAAAAAAATACAATGGTCAAATTAGCTTTTTTGAAAAGTACGGATGCCCTTTTTGCTTTTTATATATATATAATTGCATGTCCATTTACTTTCTTTGGTCTTGGGCACTGATAAGATACTAATGCACTGCTGGTCTTGGGCAAAACATGTGAAGGCAGCAAGCTTGAAGCTTTTATGTTAGTAGCAGTAGAACTTCGGCAAATACACAATGGGGGTCGACACCGAATGGTTTCTTTTAAACCTTATGATACGATAATTCATTTACAGAAACAATGTTGTAGGCAAAGAAATCAAATTCAGAACAACGATTGAGCATTCTATGTAAATTTTTCAATTAAGTAAACGGTTCAACACTGACAATTGACCCGAATCTCCATCCAACAAAAAGACTTCCAGAGGAACATAGGGGGAGTCTGATAATGACCCAAACCTGTACGTCGGCTGTAACAATCTGCAACCTTTAGCACAGTTAAGAGCTAGGAGACGTGGTCCGGTCCTCATCTGCCAGACCTGTGCACATGATGCGGTCAAGTAAAACTATTCAGATGCTCGATCACTTCACACAAGAAATTGATGTATATAACTTCAGTATCAAGTGCATAACATTGATTATATATAAAGAAAACCATCTTAAAGTAATCTAGATTTCTGTGCCCAGCACAACACAATTCATAACAGTAAAGCCAAATATCTGTAAAATTCTTTTCCTGATAGAGTAAATATTAGTAACATCGGATCCCCTCATGAAAAAGATAAATTAAGATGAACTGAATCAAGTTTAGAGTAATACATCAACCCATTCATACAGTTATATTTACTTGAATTATGTAAGAACTCAATCACAAGTCACAACCATCTATAGGGAGAGGGCTCCACATTGGCTTTCTATGTGTAGCCCCTATGTACCCTACACTCATGGATGGTTAGAAGATATAAAACCACTACTAAATAGTATTGCAACATATGACGATAAAAGTTACGAGACTCTTGCTGCTCTTACCTTAATGGTCATAATATGAAAAAAGATTCTCAAGGTCCTAACACAGCATGCACAATGGCTCTGTATCTAAGGTTCTTGATCTAAGATTTGTAAGCCATCAAACGTTTAAACTATAATCTGGAAATTCCAAATAAAGAAACAAGTAAAAGAATACAAAAACCTCAATAACTCCTTTTCGGGGCGCATGAATGGCTAAACAGAGGCAATAGTCACTCTTTCCTGGTATGTGATGAGAGGAACTAGGACGTTTATCATCTCTATTGACTAACATTTCCATGAAAAAGCAGTTTGCATCACGATATCCCTGAAAGAGTGTGAAAAACACTGCTCAGACAAGGAAAAGGGGCTGTTGATATCCAAGAAATGCAAAATTATTAAAGCAAAAGAAACCTTCCATAGTCGCACTACTACAAGTGCTTGAGTATCTAAGAGCAATATACGACCGAGTGAATCTGTGATAGCAGCCAAAGTGCCACTGGGTGATAAGGTGAGCTTTTCACCCTTTCTCGGGTGGTCCTTCAAGCATGTCAATGAGGAAGCTGGCACAAAATCATGACATCCGTTACTTATCCAATAGGTTTTGGAGAAGCATAAAAAAGGATAACTAAAGAGGGGGATAAGATTTGTATGGTAAATAAGCCTGTTAATATTCAGAACACAACAAAAAGGCATAATGAAGTGGCAACTTTCATTATCTGAGAATACTATAGAAACATATTATTTTTATCTTAAATACACTATCTTTTTTTTTATAGGAATAGGAGGTCTCATTAAAAACCTCCCTCATAATTGCCTCTTAAGAAGAGGCAATTAGCGGAAGGAGGAAAAGACCTCAATATATAAATAACCCAAAATTACACAAGACTTTAAATAACATCACCCGAAATAAGAGACTAAACATAACCATAAAACACTAAAAGAACGTTTCAACCAATCCCCTCCTTGGCTAACTTAACAGCCTCCCAATTACAAGCCCTAGGGACCAGCCTAACCACAATGTCCTTAGCCGAAATTAAATCCCCTAATTCCCCAACCAAAGAACAACAAAACGATGGGGCCTCAAAGGGCCTCAAAATCCAATCAACTGCTGTTTTACAATCACTCTCTAGAATAAGTCTACCCTTCAACACCCATCCCGAATTAAGAAACAAATCCATGCCTTCCTTAATAGCTTTCAACTCAGCAAGAAAAGGAGGACCTGGTCCCACAGCCTTAGAAAAAGAAATCAAGATAGAGCCATTCGAATCTTTCAGTACACCTCCAAAACCACCCTGCAAGCCATCACCTCTAACCGCCCCATCCACATTGCCATGCCTTTCTTAAATACACTATCTATCTACTAAAATATTTAACTGCAAATCAGAACAACTAAGATGAACCCTATGGTTAAGAATAAGCACATAGTTGAACAGCATAAATAAGCATGTTCAACAATGAGAAGGAAAATTATGAATTCAAGAGACTAAAGATGAGTTTGGTAAATATAATATGATGGAGAAAGATGCAAGCATCATTTCCCTGTTTGAACATAAGATTTTTGTGGAAGGTAAATCATATTATATCTAAAATGGCAGAAAACTAACCTGAAAGCTGAGATCACAGCATCATCTCCAATGGTGACTGCACAATAGTAACGTTGACTTGACTGCCCAACAATAAAAGCAGCTGAATTCATATAACAGAATAACTTCCAGAGGACTTCCATAATTCATTGGAGACAGAGATAAAAATGTACTGCAAGGAACAACAAATGAGCAAGAACCAGAAAAAAAGTTTTCATATTCGCATTTGAAGATCAATGGCTGTAATTAAGAATATGAAAATCAGTAATTGCATATCAAGGGCTTATAAGACTTCTCTTCTGGTTTCTTGTTTGGTGTCGGTTGACTCTGCCATATCATTTTAGAGAAAGAAGCAATAGTGGAAAATGTTGCAGGCATAACTTTTGACAAAATAGCTCCTACCAAGGAACGTTTCCTATCTGCTGAAAGCCTTAAACATGGTTAAAAAATCAGTAAAACACAACAAAAAAAGGAAGAATTCATCTTTTTGTGGAAGGTAAATCATATTATATCTAAAATGGCAGAAAACTAACCTGAAAGCTGAGATCACAGCATCATCTCCAATGGTGACTGCACAATAGTAACGTTGACTTGACTGCCCAACAATAAAAGCAGCTGAATTCATATAACAGAATAACTTCCAGAGGACTTCCATAATTCATTGGAGACAGAGATAAAAATGTACTGCAAGGAACAACAAATGAGCAGAGAACCAGAAAAAAACAGTTTTCATATTCGCATTTGAAGATCAAATGGCTGGTAATTAAGAATATGAAAATCAGTAATTGCATATCAAGGGCTTATAAGATCAAGCAACATAAGAAAAATCACCTGGAGTTCCATGAGTGGAGGAGGCATTATGCCAGTGATTGCTGCATCAACACATGACCCATACTTACTAACATTCCATAACTGGTAAGGCAATCTGCCATAAGAGTTTTCGTCGTCATCTAAATCTTTCTTCGATTTCTCATCCCAAAAACGAGAATGTGCATCTTGAAACCACCTTTGAAGCATACTCTACAATACCAGAGGCAAATCAAAGTTAGTCAAAGTGTCAAACAAGTCCACATATACACTTTACTTCTTCATAAAAATAAACATGTAAGTTTCATGCCATTTTCAGAATAACTATTATACTTTCAAGCAGCTAATGGCTCACCTGAATATCAGACCCATCAAAACGAGCGATTACACCAGGCATGACAACACAAACTTCCTCTGAGGATCCCTCTTGCATCAGGTCTTTCTTAGTCCCACAAACTCTTAACTTTATGATTTGTCTGTGATATACCATCTACAAAATTAAATATTAAACATATGAGTTACCATTCCAAAAACAATTTACATCTAAACTGATTACTGATCTCCACTAAACAAAATTAGATACTATTGATTTTAACACAAGATCTCATCTGGTTCATCATTTAATGTAACACACAAAACTTTCAAGTTCGTACTTTCCTTAATAACAAACACCAATGATGTTAATTTCACTTTGTACATTCTTTTTCACAATAAAAAGCTCAATTCCATTATGAGACATACCAGCTAATTGAGCATTTGCATTCTATCGCACCAAGCTTAGCATGCAACAACAGATAAAGATCAATAAACCAATGGCAATAGTAAACAAGACATGTCTTAATGAAGTTAGCAAAGCATAAATTAAAAACAAAAAACAGCACTGTTTAAACGGAAAATCATCACCCTACAATTTGTAGATGCTTCTACTTCTTGCTTACAAAAGCATAACATAAAAAAAAGGCAAAATTTTTGAATAATTTTAAAAAATAAAACTTTTTAGATAAGCAAATGCATAATTTTATTTTTATTTAAAGTAATTATATTTATAATTAACATTTTATTCCACCCATTGTTAATGTAATCATATTACAGAATTTTGCTCTATACCAGCCTGTCAAGAAAATATCAATCACAGATAAATCAAACTAAAGAAGTAACTAACTAGAAAAATTACCTGTCTGTGAATCAAATCACCACGCAAAGAGTAAATCAAAAGGAATCCTCTGGAGGTACCGACCGCAATTACTTTAATATCGTCAAAAACCAGCCACTCGATGGCCGTTATGCGTTCTGCCTCGATAGGCGAGAGTTCCGTTCGGATCTGAACTCGATGTTTATCTTGATCGGACCATCCGAGGATGAGAACAATAGATCGGTTAGCGATTGCAAGGGAATGGGCGTCGAGAGCACATATGACGGTGGTCCCGGCGTCAGGGGTTAGCCAACCTTCCTTTCCGGCACCGAATTCCGTCAAATCTTCGCCGGCGATGCAGCCGAGTTCCGTCAAATGGTGGCTCCGCTTGGTCATTGGCATCAGATTTCGTTTCTCTCTCTCTCTGTCTGACAGCTGAGTTTATGGAAGTAAAGAATTTTGTATAGGAAGGGAAAGCACGTGACCTTCTCGGACTCACGTGTCCATCTGTTAATTATAGATAGAAAAAAATAGTTAATTGCAGAATACATATTCGAACTGTGCCCAGTTTAAATTGGTCCTCAAATTTTAAGGCATTCTAAAATAAATTAAGGGGCTGTTTGTTTGCTCTGAATAGAATCATTCAACGCTGAATGTTGAACCGTTCAGCGCTGAATGCTGAACCATTCAACATTCAGACTGTTTGTTTCTCACCTCTAAATGATTCAGTACCGACTGATTCAACAAAACAGTGTTGAATGATTCAGCACAGAAATATGAATGATTCAACAAGAAGTACATTCTTAATGATTCAGAGCCATTATCAAACAGCATTCACATTCAGAGATAATTCATACAGAGCCTCTGAATCATTCAGTATTTGAATCATTCAACGCTTAATCATTTTAAAGTAAACAAACATCCCCTAAATTAGCATTCTTATCCTTAGGTGAAAAAAATTATAATAAAACGAACACTTCCATTCATATAACCCAATAGAAAAATTCAGAAAGGAATCGACTTCATCAATTGATTAAGATTGAAGTATATCAATATGATTTTTTAATAAGTAATTTTTAAATATTATAAAATAATCTATCAAACTATTATAAATTGGTCAAATCTATCAAATTATTATAAAACGAGCATTAAACTTATCAAAATTTATTATTATGCAAGGATTATTTTGTAACAATTAAATAAATTTAATGATCATTTTATAATATTTAAAAATTAAATAACCAAAAAATCAATTAACATAATTTCATAGAATCATTTCAACAAAGTTAGGTATTCTCTGCTATAATTTACCCTTTAAGGAAGTGAGTCCGAGGGAAGATGAAGCTATGTTCTGCAACTGCACGGATAGCTGCTTGTCTTCCATGGAATGTTCCCCCCCCCCCTGATTGGAGTTCTTAGTTGATAGCTTGCGTCAGTTTTTCAGCTTTCATGTAATGCTTGTCTAGCAAATTACATGGTCTGCAAGCATAGCTCTCAGCTTTCATGGAAAATCCTTCTTGTTTTGAAGTTAGAAATGAATTGATACGCCCACTATAAATAGTTCTAAGGGTATTTGTAAATTGTTGTTATTATTTGAGGTATCGGGTTCGAGGACAAGGGTGTAAGAAGGTTATCAACCGGTTTTGAATTCACAAAAATGATCTGACCATTGGTGTTGAGACCCAACCGATCAACACTCGTGGGAAATCAGGGGGTCCTTGAATCGGGTGAGATTCGATGGAATGTTATCAACCGGGATGTGAAGAAGGTTGACTCTCTGCTATGGAATCTAATCAAGGAAAATCTTTAAGCCCTAGCAAGTGTGAGAGAAGAACTGGGAATGCTGACAATGAAGGTGCTGCTCCTGCACGAGTTATTTCTTTCATGTTGGAAAAGAAAACTTGAAAACTTCTCAAACAGGAGTCATTAGCTATTTCTTTCATGTCCTGCTGCAGAAGTATCTCAACAAGATCTTTACATGAAACTCCAACAAGATAACAATGTAAAAACAGGTCTCAATAGTTTGAAATCGAAATCGATGCACACATTAGCCTGGGAAACCCACTGCTGTTGTTTGGAAGAAACGTGCTCGACTTTAGCGATAGCATGTGAGGTGCAGTTTTATTTCCAACAAAATACAATGCAAAGGAAAATGGTCCTTAAGATTTAAGAACCAATCTAAAACATAACAACCTCCGATCACAATTTGAGTTCAGGTTTTGCTGTTAAAAAGATATTACAGATAGCTTAGAACTAATAAAGTACTACATGTCAGTCACTGATAAGTGAGAAGCATACGCTATGTTGTGCATCAGCAGCTACTAACCAAAACTAAGTGCTGAAATAGTCCTCAGGTACGTAAAATTTCAATCCTGTCGCCTGCAACCGTGAAAATTACAGGTAAACAATGCAGTTTACCTTGTATATCAGAAGCAAGTAGAAATGAATGAAAAAGAAGTGCAATTCTTGCAAAATTGTCTATATCAGCATAACGTGGACATATGGAGTATCAGTTATTGAAAATTTTAAATAACAAGGCCGTCTTCAGTATTCAAGTCTCGGCCAAATGGTAGATTAGAAAGGCAAGTTATAGAAACCATAAATCAATTATAGAATACTAATGCTTTTGGGAAAAGAAAATAATCAATAAAACAAACGAAGTTAAATGACACCTGTGCAAATTTTATATCAGCATCACTGTGATCATTGGGTCTCCCAGCAGCATCGCCGACATAAAAGGATCTACCAAGACAATCAGAGTTTTAGTCAGATCAGTGATCCTATTCGTAGTGATATCGTCAAATACTAAAGTTGGGCACCATCCCTATCACACTCCAAAAATTCCCAAAGCACTGCCAGCAAAGTATAAGCAAGCTACTTAAAGGTTTAGAATGGTGAAACAAGATAATGAAGACAGAAAAATAACTGATCCATATCAATTGGAATGCCAGAATTGAAAATTTTCTCCATAATATGCCACATCCCAGTATTTGGTTTGCGGAAAGGATCATCAGCTTTACCACCAGAACTGCCTATCCCGCAAGCTATAAAAACCTGCACATGTATAATGAAGTGAGGACTTTTCAAATTGATGATATTTTTCACATAATCGTAGAACACTTTAGACACATTATACAGGCATTTAGAAAAAGTTTCCATCATTAGAGAGATCAGGATTTTATACTTCATTGTTCGGGTAGCATCATGCATTGTAAAGTGATCATGGAAGTTTTTCAGATATCAGAGAATGGTACCTAACAATTTGTTTACTTAATGTATTCAAAGATCCCAGGAGACTTCAAAGCCTGGATTTTCCCCACTGATCCCATAATTGCTTTTTAGATGGAAATTTTAAGCAGCTCATTTTACTCGATTCAAATAAACCTAATCTCAAATTAGTGGGGGTTGACCTGATGAGTGTATTTACCCCACCTGCTCAGTGAAGGGTCCCTTCATCTAAAAGTTTGAGCCAAAAATGATTCAAGATTTGTTGCTGCTGAGAAGTTTAAATCGATATACTTTCTTTCTATAGAGGAAAAAAACTAAAGGGAGCAAACATAACCTGCATCGGAACCTTTACTTGCTTGATGAAATTGTTAAGACGTCCAACTTTTGAGTCCACAGCTACCAGCCTTTTGTTCTTCCAGCGGTCGATATTGGATTCGTTTGTAAAGATTACCTAAATATTGCACAAACCAAAGCCATAATAAGAAAACAGAATAAATGCACTGCAATTATAGTTTCTTATAAAATAAACAATCAAAAAGCTTTCAGAACACGAAACAAAACCAGCTTAAAGCCCTCTTCATAAAGATTCTGCAGCTTCTCTGGTATTGAAGGATACATAAGGGACCAGGCATCTGCACCAACTCTGAAAGACAAAATATGTTTATCAATTCAAAAAAGTGAGCAGCTACTTCAATTTGGCACTTGCAGCGGAGCATTTATGACGGGGGATAACAAGGTGATATATGCCCATTCCTACACTCATCGACAGAATAACCATTTCCCTTTTTTTCCCCTACCTCCTAAACCTCTAATTCCTATTCCGAGCAGGGCAGTTATGTTGAACTGTACTCCATTGGATCAATTAGAATACATGGGAAGGGAAAATGTTCAAAAGAATTTAACATCGTTCAGAACCAAAACCATGTTAAAATATGAGCACACAAGTGAATGTCATAGAACAAAACTAGTTGAATTCAAGAAGCTCATTTAACAATGATGTCAGATCAACTGAGAAAAAAAAGCATTTACTTTATTCATCCAATGCCAATACATGTCAGATTTATGCAAGGTCAAATGTAAGAATGTAGAACAACCATAACTAAATGCAAAGAAAACTGCAAACGAATTACCTTTTAACGGACGTGTCAGCCAGACAACCATCAAAATCAAAAGCAGCAATTTTACCAGAATCATGGAGACCATCGTCCTGGGGAGGATAAAAGGGAGATGCCAAAAAATCAATTAAAAGAAATAACCAGTCAAGAACGTTCTCGACGAAAGAAAAATCTGGATATACCCCAAAGAATCAAAATGATGAAAGTGAAAGACATAAATATGAAGAAAATAAAAATAGATAGAATCTCCAATGGTAGACCAATTATTTAACTTAAGCATCCACTATCATGAAAGCACTCAAATTTTCCTTCATTTGTCAACTATGTTATATGATTGGCATCTTACCCGCTCAAGAAATATAACTGTCTGGAATGCCTTCCATTTTGGTTCTAAAGCAGCATCCTAAAGCAAGGAAAAGGATACAAACAGGAAAGCCAGAAAAGTTTGCAACAATGATACAAACATTTGAGCTCTAAATAAAAAAAATCCTTAGAATATTGTTAAGGTTCAAAAACATAATAGTATATAACAAGCAAAACATATAATACCTTATACTTTTTTTTTTGATAGAAGTTGGAGGTCTCATTAAAAACTCCCTTCGTATTCGTTCACATACTAAATGTATGTTAACGAACATTGGAAGGAAGAAAAGAGTACCTCAAATTTTATTAATAAAATACCCGATACAAAAGACACCACAGAATATCCTCTCATGGTGATGTACACCATTACAACAAACACCTTAACCTCATATAACCTCATCCAAAGCCACAGTCTAAACACCTTACTTCTAATTACACCACCAACAGTAGGAATAAAACAGCGCAACAGAGCATAATACAAATTAAAAGAAACACCTACAACCATATAGACTATAACAACCACAATTGAAGAGACAAGATCTAATGAGACTCTTCTTCTTCAGGAGCCCAAGAGTTTGGTTTGAATGAAGGCTCTATCTCATGCACCATGACCTTGAAGAAGTTGTCACCAACCTTCAATTCCACCATCGCATCAATTCTCGCATCAACCTTTGTAAGGACTTGAATTTTTGCCCGATCAAAGGATGATGGAGACTGACAACTTTCGTTGATAGCTAGTAATAAACCCCACTTATCAGCAATGTTCTTGAAAGTATCCCAATTCCATGTGTGAAAAGGAACACCCTCACAAACTAACCATACTCGACGACACTCCATTACCAAACTCTCTGACCAAGCTTTGACTATGGAGAACCACTCTGCGAGAATCTTTGATTTATCGTTCTTCACATTTCTCAAGGAAGCATTGTCTTCGAAAATCATTAAAATCGCATTACTTGCAGCTCTCATTAAGGTGAAGCCAGTGAGGCCCTTCGTTTGCATTTGTCTGGCGAGATGACCAATTTTGACAAAGTCCTTGCACCACCCCACTAGACAATTGCTCAACACCTGAAGTTTTTCTTCATCTATAACACCTTCAACTTTAAAATGATTCTTCCTCGGAACATCCTCCGTCCCGGACTTGCGAAGAACACCTGTCGAGGACTTTCTCCAATAAGAATGTCGAGGTTTGAATTTAGCGAAAGAAACACCAATTTTTCTGCCGTCGATACGAGAGCCATTCATTTTTGAGATCGCTCTCCTAGCTTCTTCGATTGATGCGAAGTGAAAAAAACCAAAGCGAAGTCCTTTTGAGTTCCTTTTATTTGGGATAAAAGCATCAAGTACACGACCGTGGGAGAAAAATAAAGCTCCAAGCCTCTTCCAATGAATCTTCTAGGGTAAATTTTCAACAAATATGGTGTAGCAACCATACTTGTCATTATTGCACCCTTTTGTGGTGGACTCCTTGGTTCCCTCGTAGACACCATCTGCTGCAGATTTTTCATCGCAACACCCATTTTTACCAGTCACATGAAGGCTAGGAGATGCACAGAAGCTGAATTGGCATTGCAGAACATGAGGAACATGATCACATCCATACTTGTCTAAAGCATCAGAAGCTGTAACTATTCCTCTTTTAACAACAAGATTCTTCCTTGCCATCTCAATGTGGAAAAGGGACTTCAACTTATCATCAAAAACCATTTTCTGAAGTGCATCCTTGGCAGCAACTACAAAATCTGCATTTGAGAAGAGAGCGAAACCCTTAGGCTTTTCTCCCTTGAAGCTCACTTGCGAAGCTTCAAAACCTGGAAGCCATCTCAGTAGATTTTGCAACTCTCTCTCTTTGACATCTTTAGGCAAACCCATAATGAATATCGTACGAACCTCATCATGATGAGAAGGGTGAGATTGCGGAGAAGGCGAGGCTGCAAAGGGCAGAGGAACTTGGACCGGAGGTCCCTGCTGATGACAAGGGTGGAATCCAGCACCCGACATTAGAGGAAAACTCAGTGACCTGATGTAAAATCCCTATCGCGCGCCCGGTGATGGTAAATTTTGTAACTGGCCGGCGAAGAAGAGGAGGGTGGAAGGGATGAAGCGAGTCGGATAGGAAGGTCTTGAACTTTAGAGAAGATGGAATAGCGTATTCTTCCTTCAACGAAACTCTCAGACTTAATCTGAATCGTGAAAACAGTGACTACCGGTGAGGAATATAAGGGCAGAAGTGATGGAAAGAGTCCGACAGGCAGATCTTGGTCCTGAGTGAAGGAGGAACTATGAGTTGACCTTCAAAAAAACCCTCAGAGATGAAAAATATCGGGAGAACAGCTTGGCAAAACCATGACTTGTTCTGCTTTGTCGAACCGGTCAAAGGCAGACTCACGGGGAATGGCAGCAAGTCTGAACGCTAGGATAGAAAGGATTAGATCCCGAGTGTACGACGAGACCGGAGGTATGACGGTGAACTGACGACGGTCAACGGCTAAAATCAGAGAAGAAGGGTGATTAGATCTGCACCGAATGAATGACTAACTATAAAATCTAATCTCAAAAATGAAATTAGAGTGAGGAGACGTTCTTCCTGAAGAAAAGTGGCGGGTGAATGGACAACAGAGTGTGGCGGCGGGCGGCGAACTGCAGACGGCGGATGTCGGACGGCAGACGGCGGCCGGCGATGATAAACGACGGCGGGCGACGATAGTAAAGATGAGTTGAGATGAAGAATGAAAATAAAAGTCACCTTGAACCAAGAGAGAAGCGGGAGCTTCTCTCACTAGGTTTGAAATTCAAAAAATCCTATTTTATATAATATCTTATACTTATCCTTGACGTCAGAGACAGAAAAGACTATGTCCAACTGAGCTTTCTCATTAGGCGCTGACAACTAGTTGAGAGCATAAAAATATAAAGCTGATCAGTTGATGGGATCCTCAACTAAACAATACCATGAACTTAAAAATTACATATAAGCATTAACCACACAAACTGACTCACTCTTTTTTGGTGAATCCATGCATAGTATAATTAGTGCAAAGCAGCACAGGCAATTAGGCAGGCTTCGAGTTTGGAACTAATAATAGATGATTACTTTCCTCTACATCATTATCTTCTTTGTATTCATATGTTCTGTTGAATCAAAATAGAGTAAAAACTCTAATTGATCAAAAAAAAACTCTCTTTAGAATAATCTCACAAAATTGCAAAAGGGAAGAACTCTTAAGAAAGCTTTCAAATGCTTATAATTAAGCTTTGATTGTTGGATGATAAAACTCAAATACAAGTAGGGTATTTATAGGTTACAAGAAACAATCTAAACCACTCATTAAAATAAACACTAAATAATCTAAACCATTGAAATTAAAACACATGAGAAAAATACTTAATTTTCACCTAACTAAATTGATGTAAGCAATGACATCAAAACTAAATTGATGTAAGCAATGACATCAAATTAATTTAGGTGTGAACATATAGGCTAATATTGAATTTTCAACACTCCCCC